AGGAGGTTCTAAGAATGTTTACTTTTTCTATGAAGACCAACCTTCAATGGGCTTTCCTCCACTAAGCAGTCGAAAATCTATGATTTGGGCCGAAGTGTTACCCTTTTTACTTACTAGGCAACTGAATTCCACAAAAAAGACGGGCGTGGACGAAAGAAAAGATATTAATTCCCCAAGAGATGGTGGAGGATCGAAGCTACCTAGACAGCGACTTTCGGCAGATACCCGATATTTCTCAGAATTGCGAAAATCACGAGGAAACATGAACGAGCCGTGCACCAAGACTAAAATTGCTGGAAACTACTGTGAGAAAAAAATAAAGGGTCAATGAATTCGGTCTGTGACCACAGGCCACAGGATTAGGAGTTCAACATAAGGTTCGAATTGTTGGACCCACCACGAGGAATTTAAGCTCCACCTTCCCAAGAAGCACCTTCTATGGGATACTGCTGCTTTTCGTTGCCACCTTTACCTTCATTGTTACCCTGAAACCTAAGGGATTTGTGGTTGCCTCATTAATGAGCGAACAAGCCTTCTGACATCCTGTAGCGGCTACAGGTTCTAGCAGTTGCCTACCGTTCCGTTCAGGGCCGGCGAAAACCGTCCTGTGCGATTTCCTTCTCTTCATTGCCATTAACAGATGGTAGGGGGTCGTAGATGTGAATCAGATACCGATCTACATATTCTTTTCCCTTCCGTTCCTTGCTCTCGGGGTCCTACAGGGTCCCGGGAGCAGGGAAGGGAAGGGGAGGGAAAAGCCTCGGTAATCTGCCCTATTTCTAAAATTTCATGTTTCTTAATTCACTCTGAGCTGACCAGCTGTTCACTCTTCGACGGATAAGTGAAAGTGGGACTATTGCCCTTATCATACAACGCCTGAACTTCCCAAAAGTAGTTCGAAGCAAAAAACTCGGACGATTTTCCTCCAATGAAAGACTAAACTCGGATGTTTTTGCAGTGAGAACATATCCGGATGTTTCCACTTTTACTATCTACTTCCTTGATATACTTGAAAGCTTCTGCAGCGGAGCGTTTCCTCTTATATGCACCGGAACCGAATCCTCTTGAATGACTTCCTTGGACATATTCTATGTCATTAGTTATATGGGGACTCATTGCTAACTTCGAAACCTATCGACGAGTTAATAGTTTTCCAATACGAAGAGTATGTTAGGAGGTTAAAGGCATCATCCATCTTTTCTGCACAATTTCTCCACTTTCCTAGTAGCCAATTTTCGGGCCTGAGGGCTTGCCTCCTACTTGGCAGCCGAAGAGTGCATATGCTAGCCGATGTGGGAGTTTGCGAAGGGGTTTGGCAAGAGATATATTCATACTTCAACGCCTTCCTGAGCGAAACTGGAGGCATGGCGTAATCCACATTCCGACTAATACCAGGTTTCACTGATGTCAACTGACCCTATAATAGACGTCAATAGAGTGGTGCAACTGGAGTTAAACGAGAAATGAATTTCAACCCATGACACTCTGATCATTGAACTTTACCATTTTCCCAGCCAATGGAATAGGATTCCCCATTTGCGCACTCGTAGCACCCTCATAACTCGAACGAATTACCGACCCACTCACCTACAAATTTTCAGGCCAAATTATAACTTTCAAGCCTTAAAAAAGCAAATTATAGCTTTGAAATGACGCGCTCTAAGGAGCCCATATATCTCCCAGTACTATTAGGCCGCACAGCATGAACTAGTCATACTGTAGTGAGTAGTAATACTGTAAGATAACGAGGACGTAATCGTTCATCTATCAAATAATGGGTGTAAATATGGCCCTAGAAAAATAAATCAGAAAGCAACAATAGAGTTCTTTGTGCAGTCGGCAAAATGCCTGGGACCGATCGCATTAGCCTCGAAAAAGAGGCTCTTGGGCCGATTCTGGGAGAAGTGATGCGATAGAGAATCGCGTGCTTTCGAGCATAAAATGGTGGAACACGAAGCAAAAGCTGGTTGTGGCGGCTTCGATGAGAGTAATGGACGTCCGACTGTTTCAGCTTCGTAATGGACAAGTGATTCGGTTTGCCGTCGAAAATCTGTTTAGCCGCCGATGATATCACTTCTAATCGTCGAAGGTTTTCTTTTTACGGCAAATTATCTCAGGAACAAGGATCACTCCAGAGTTTTTCTCAGGAATAGTGAATGACCGTTGGGAGGTAATTGTTTGAAGTTAATATGATCCTTTTCGGCATGCGCCATGCATTCCACCTTCACTCAGAATCGTGCTAATGTACAGAAGTGCTCCTCGCTTATTCAGGAACTTAATGGTATACGAGTTAGCACTTCTCTCCTTTCGAAAGGGCTTCTAATAACTGGACTATCTCTTTTGCGACTTCTAAGCGAGGTTCGTTCTAAAGACCGCTCTCTGGTAGGGGCGCATTCTTTGCCAGTGCATGATATCCTTTTTCGGTCTGCTTATGCCAACACTCAAACACTGCCTTCCCACCTTCGATTTTTTAAAGGTATGCACGCTTTATTAGCTGAATCCGTTAAAAAAAGAGCCCAACTTATAAAATTAAAAACTTAAAACTTTAAACCTGAAATCAAAAGAACTTACGAACCCATAAAATAGAAAAGAGGCAAGGAAAGGCGGATAAAAGTTGGTACTGCAGTGAAGAAGGTACGACATCATTCAGTTCCTTGGGATACGCCACGAATTTGCCTTTAACTAGCATAATAGACTTTTTCGGGTAACAAATAGATGAATAGTTTTTTTTTTCAGATAGTAATACTACCGCTGCTTACATCGTGCTTCGAATTTATTCCTGATTGAAGGGTAATACCAGAAGGTGGGATTTGAGAAGAGGAAAAATCGCGATATGATCGAGAAGGGCCACGCGCGGTCGTTAGCTATCAGTAATTTTTTAATAATCTCACGTCTTAGTATAATTTGAATGACCTTCATTATCTAGTTTTGTTTCACGTTTGTGTGCGGAATAATTCCTGAAC